CTTTCTATACGACCTAATATATAAACAAAAGAATGTTAATCTGTATTCACATTTACTGTTATAAGTTTTCATATAAATTAAAACATTCAGTTGAATGCTATTGAAAGCAAAAAACAGCATTTTAAACAGATTTTTATATCAAGAATGCTATAACCAAAACAAATAAATATTATATCTAACAAGTAAATTAGATTTTAAAAATTTTAACTATTAACTATTATTTTTTTTAAATATTGAATAAAAACAACCAATTTGTTGGTTAATTTATAAGTGTACAATTTGTTCAAATAATAGACTGTAAATGAAAAAATAAATTATTAAATTAAAATAAGTGATATTTGTTTAGTAATAATATTCAGTATTTTTTATTATAGAAATATCTGAAAACATTAATTTCACAATGCAAAGGTTTCGTTTATTTAAATATTGATTTATTTAATAGTAATTTCTATGCAATTAGAGTAGATTTACTGAAATAAAATGACATTAAGAGACTATTATTCATTTTATTATCATTTGATTTTTAAATGTATATAAGATTTCATAATATATGACTAATTAATGGAAAGTTTTCATATAACTTATAAAAATATTTGTATATTTTCATGTGGCTTAAGAATCGTTACCTAAAATTTTAAAATATTGTTATATTTATGAACAAAAATATTTTGATTATGAATTTCATACTTATAAGTTATAGCAGCGATTTAAACATTAAGCGGTATACAGTATGTTATTGTTACAAATGATGTTTGTGGTTTTATGTTATAATATATATTATTGTCATTATAACTCAAAAGTATTATTTCACTTTATTTGTGAGGTAATAGTACAATACTGAAAATTAACAAATTCAATATTACAAGTTATCATTTATAACCGTATTAATTGCAATAACTAAATGTATAATTTAAAATCCACTGATTTGGAATATCCACTTTATAAATATTGGCTTTTCTATAGGTATGACATAAACATAAAAACTGTTTCAAGACATCAACAATTAAAACAAAAATTAAAAGTTTTCATTTCTATCATCTTATGTCTGTTTAATTTAATTCGTTATGCATTTTATTTGTATAAAAGTGAACCAAACAGACGATTACCACTTTATTACTTTGAATTATCGCAATATCTTGGTCGTTTCAAAGAGATTCCATATATAAGTTGTATCATTGTACTTATGTTATCATTGAGATTATTATTAATTTGGAATTTTAGTGATAAAAGCGATTATAAGTGGTTTGAAATAATATTAGCCATAAATGAATATAAATCATTTCAATCTATTGGTTTGAATAACAAATATTTAGTTAACAAATATATGCACACGATAAAAGTTTTCAACATATTAATTACGATTATAAGTGGTTTGAAATAATATTAGCCATAAATGAATATAAATCATTTCAATCTATTGGTTTGAATAACAAATATTTAGTTAACAAATATATGCACACGATTAAAGTTTTCAACATATTAATTAATTTAAGTATTAAATCAATTACTGTGGGATTTTTAATTACTTTCTTGGCTGTTATTTATATTTATTTTTTCAATTATGACTTAATAATGTATGGAATAATAAGTATGATTGTAACTCAAATGATGGCTATTTTATTTTGCTCAGTTATGTTTTTAACAATTTTCTATTATTTAATGGTTTGCTTTTATATAAAAGCTTGTATTAAAGATTTCAATAATAATCTGCATAAAGATGTTTTGAAAAAACTGTTATTTAAGAGAAGATCACTGAACGATAACTTTAGAAATCACAACAAAATCTGTTTCGATATTGAAATATATAACAAATTTTGGAAACGGGTTTATATTTGTATTATATATTTATTAATACCACTAAACTGTCTTGTAATGGATATGATTTTCTTTGAGGACACTATTATATATTCAAGAGTAGTTTACATGACATTTTTAGTGGCCGCCATAGCATCGATGTTTTGCATCAATTTAATCATATCTGACATTTACGTGAATATATCAAAAACTTATAACAAGTTGTATGGATATTATATGCGGACCAAACACCTCTTAAGCATAAGCAGTAAATTCAGTGTATGTTATATTAATATACCTAAAGTAGCTCATTATTATTAATTCATTATTAGTAGTTAGTAATAGTTAATTATTAATGAGTGCACTTTATTAATATAATTTAAATCTAATTTTTAAATCTAAAATCTAAATTAAAAATATTTGTATCAATTTTGCTAGATAATAAATTGTATGGAGAGAGTGAGCGATAGAAATCGATTGATTGGTTTCTCATGTGGTAATCAATACGTTATCACCAGAAGTATTGCATTCAAAGTAAGATCTCATTGCTTTTGAAACTTTTATTGCATAATTTAAAAATCTACTTGATTAATTAAAACTTTAATCTTTTATTGTTTAGATGTTTCTAATATTCATCCGTTTCTTTATGTTAACTCAAAAGTTTGTGCAAAGATTTAGAGATTCTCAATAATTGGACATATTTTAAAATCAAATTTCACAAATACCTAATATATCATTTATTTTAATGTTAGTTTATTAGAAAATATCATTAAAAAGTAAGATTTGTACTACAAAAACATAAAAATGTTTATAAGTATTCACATTCACTGTTAATTATTTTAACACAAGAACATAATTAAAAGCAATTAATAAATATGAGATAATAGTTATATAAAAAAGTTATGAATAAATAATTATGATTCATAATTTATGAATAATTATGGTTGGTGCTCACCCAATTAATTGGAAAGCATTCATGGGATAAAGTATATGAATGTGTTTTATGAACATATTTATAGAAAATAGATAAACCAATGAATACACAAATAAAGGCAATATAATGGTAAGCCGTTAGTGAGGCCTGGGATGAGACTATTGTTATAGTTATAGTGATTTAATTATAATTAATTAATAATAAAATTAGTAAATAATTTATTATTATATATTTAGTTTATAAACAAATAGTTCATTGGATACCTACTCTGGAAATAAATTATTTAATGATTTATAAAAATTCAAGAATTAAAACTTTAAAATTCAATATTTATATACCTTGTGGTAAAATACAGTCTCGACTGTAAGGCAATAATAAATCTTTTGATTGTCTTTATATAAGAATAGTAATGAATTAAAATATGAAAATATAGCCAGCACTTCTAATTTTTCATATTTATAAATTCGTTTCAATTCATCGTTATTAGTATATAAATCGTTATAATATCCCAGCAATAAGTCCGTCATTTCTTGTGTATTGGACGCATTTATTTGTTGAATATAAAGCTGCAAACAGCGATAATTTATGCTATAATTTTGCATAACATTTATCGCATTTTGGGACATAAAGCAAACTATTGGTAAATGATCATCATCTCTTTTGATATTAAATTCATGTGGAGTTTCTTTAAACACCAGTTCCGTGGCCTTAAATTTCCCCTCATATACAATGTCACTGTTGTCGTCTCTTTTGGGTATTTGTTTGATATAATGTATTCTTTTGAGTACATATTTCTCAATATGTTTATAGTATTGTATATTCATTACAAATACTAATTGCATGACTTTCGGTTCAATATATCCTTTGGGTGTCCATTGACTGAAAGCCAATGGATACTTGCCATGCTGTCTGTTTATGGGAAATATATTTTTATTCGTACTGAGACTCAGGTTCCTTTTGAATGTACCGGTTATTTCCCAATAATTATGTCCAATAAATATGTAATAATTGTGATGTCCAAACCGTGTATTACCTGGAAAATTATAGCCATAATCTATAGAGTTATGATTTGCCACAAATTCACGGCAAAAGTCATTGCTATCAATTGACACAATTACTAAACATAAGCCAACAAACAGATTAATAATCTTCATTCTTACAAATATTTTGCTAACAATTTATAACTAATTTTGAGTTTAAATGTTTCACTACTTTAAATAAGATAATGCTTTAAATTGTATGAAATTATTATTAGTATAATAAAACAAAACTATATTAATGCATATCATAAATACCAAATTACTCATAATTATTATAATATTATTATTGATATTTAAATATCAGTATTAAATAACCACAAATTATTTGCTTATGAATAATGCTAGTATTATTTATTATAACAATAGTCAACAACATTATTAAAGACAAAATAACAAATTAAAAATTATTAAATAATTAATCATCATTTGCTTTAATATATTATTAAGTTAATATATATTGAGTAATACTTAATAATAAATATAATTTCTAATTAGAAGTAATAATATCATAACAATTATAAAATAACAACATTAGTTGACTCATTGGTAGCAAATCTTTTGTTAAAAATGTGAACAAGTCTGAGCTCTTCTTCTTGAATTCTCTGTTGATTCTGTCATTAAATGATCATTTATTTTCAATAAATATCATTTAATAAATTGAGATCACATTCATTGCTCACCACATGTCTGACGGCTAAGCACATCATTATAAAGATGACCGAAAGTGCCAATACATTAACCGGTAAAGTCTTCAGCCAATGGATCCATAGGTTCATTGGGTTGCAATCAATCAATAGTTTTGAATTGGATAAACACTAAACAATCAAATAAATTAATATACTAACATTTGTAACATGTACATTTCAAACATATACAGTACCTGATTATCAAATGAGCTCTCATTTGTGAAACAATAGAAAAGTTTTGTATCCTTTTTGTATAGAAATAAAAGATTTTCAATGTTATTGTAAACAGCCATCACTTCGATTCTTATGGGCATATCATTCATGACTACATTTTGCTTATTGTTTGTAATGTTAATAACAATTGTATTCATTTCGCGTTCAAAACCGATATAACTATCAAATATACGCAAACACCGATAACTTCTGTCGTAGTCTTCAAGCAAAAGATTTGAATTTTGAAACCAAAAGCAGATAATTGTTGGCGAACTGTCCGCACCATAAAGTATATCAAAGACATGTTTTAATGATAAGTCCATCAAACCAGAGGACCGGTACAAAGCACCGGTAGTTTCATTGCTGAACACTGCTGACCAATCTATTGAATCATTAGATTTCTATGGAAAGTAACTCAAAATTAATATTTAATTGTTCAAGTTTATGTTTGCAATTATCAGTACCAATACTAAACCCGTGATGTGATCATAAGATGCACTAACATTCGGGGCATTCCTATCAAACCACACATTGAATGCCATTTTATAGTCATTTCCAAACCAATTACTCGTGTGACTAGTGGTCGACTCCAAGCGGACACTTGTATTGTCTGTCAATAATCGCCAGTGATTTTGGTTAATGAATACATAATAGCCGTAAGAGTTATCATCAAATTCATGACTATATCCGTAATCAATTGTGTTATTATTGCCAATAAATGATTGACAAAAGTCTTCGTCGCACTCAATGATAACTATAATATTAATTAACAAAATGATTATAAATAAATTGAAATTCATTATAACGATAGATAGTTAGAATAAAATCAAATCAAATCATTTCATTTCGAGTCTAATGATAAAGTGTTGAGAGATATATAGACTATTAATATTTGAAAGTTTAATATTTTAAAAGGGTGAATTAGTGTAGACACAAAGATAATAAAGTATTGTTGAATAATTTGCAAAATGCTTCAAATGTTTGGTAAAGTGTAAATTAAGAGGTTTGATTAATAGGGGATCTACTATGTTAAAATGATATGATGGGTTAAATATAAAAACTAACCATTAAAAACAAATTACTCAAATAGAATATAGCATATTTGCATAAAATTAATTAAAACTTTAATATTAATAGGTTTGGAAAAGGTAATATAAATCTTATTAAAAACTTAGACTTCACATACGGCTTACTAAAATCATTTTATAGTATAGTTGAATCTATATTATTACACTGTTTAAGTTTTGAATCTAATTGAATCTATAAAATTGAGTTTGTAGATCTACCATGAATAAAATATGGTTTACGTGCATACATAAAAACACCTTCATTTTTAATCTATAACTAGAAAGTTAGTTTCTACGGTATTATAATGTACCAAACCTTAATAATACTTTAACATCTAAACTTCTTAGCTATCTTACTCAAATATTTGTATAATCTTGTAAAATATTTGTTACTTATAATCATATTTAGTTGTTAATTTTACAAAAACCTAGGTGTATCCAATGTTGTATTCAATATAATTTCATATTATCTTAACATAGTGTCTGATTTTTAAAGTTAAATTCCTTTACAGATTGAATTACATAACATTAGCTCTGAATCCATGCTATCTATAAGTTATAAGATTTAAACTCAATTCTAATTATGAAAAAATAATAATAAATATTTTGCTAAATTAGTTAACAATAATTAATTACAGTACCTGTCAAATAAACAAAATCGCACGTAGGAGATAAATTTCAACAAATTTAAATCAGTCTCTAAATATTGTATATAATAATCTATTTAAATTAATAAATAAATTTAGCGTTAATGCATGAACAACAAACAAAAATTAATTTCATTGAAATACATCATTAGCAAAATAATATAAATTAAATATCAAATAACTATATATATATATAAAGTGGTAATCTCACGCAATAACTCTATAATGATTTAAACTTTTGCACTTTTATATATATATACCAGAGATTTGCATAATTTAATGTTTTTACAGAGATAATATGCGTGAATTATAATTACAACATTAATAGTTAACAAATAGTTAACAAATAAGTTTAGTAAATATTGAATACAATCGATGAAAAAAGCGATTTTTATTCAAACGTTTACTTGTAATTTATTTTCGTATAAATATTTGAAAAAATTTAATTAAAATCTAATAAAATAAAATGCATTACTGTTTATTATTATCGGACAATAAATTAATTACTTTTTTGTTATGATTTTAACAGCAATAATTACTGCAATGTTATCGAGGTCTCAATTCATGTCTAATCTGTTAATTAACTCCAATAATGTAGTCATAAATCGTTGATTAAAACTAATCCATTGAGATATACGACAAGGAATACAGTATCAATTACCACATTATAAACATTGGGAGTTATGTAATAGATTATAAAATATAGTAATTATTTGTTTTACTTGTTCATAAATATGCCTGATATGCATGTTATACAAATATGTTTATTAAATATTATAGTTAATAATCATTAAATATTAATAAATAACACTATAATTGTTAATTATAAGGAATAAATTAATTCTTATATTATTTAAAATAATGGTTTTATTTAAAAAGTTTAAAATAAATATAAAATATAAAACTGATTTATATTTCACAATTAATAATACTTATACTTAAAAAATCAATGTAAAATTAATATATTTAATTTTATTCATTTTGTTTGGTATAAATCAAACAGTGAGAGGTTTAACCTGGATTATGATATCCGTAGTTAAAAAAGTGTCTAAAATCTAGTTATTTATAAAATTCATATATAGATAGCGTACGCGACTCTTGAATGTGAATGCCTTTTGGTTTTATATAATATGCGAGAGAGAGAGAGAGAGAGCGAGAGAGAGAGAGAGCGAGAGAGAGAGAGAGAGACTTTTATATTACAAGTAACTTGACCATATTTTGAACAGTAGTAATATTATTATTTCGTATTAATATTTGAGAAAAATGACACAAATTTCGATAATATATCAGTATTTGGCAAATATATGGCACTCATGTAGTGTCCTCTCAAACCTCAAACTCAAAACCCCTTCAAAAAGTTATTAATATTAGAGAAATATGTGAAATAAAAACACCAAAAGTCACTATTCATGCGGACATCTCTCCACAGAAATACATATTTATGTGAAATCTGTTTCTCAGATAAATGGCTGTAAAAGAGTTGCTGTCAAAGGATATCTCATAAATTGTTACCATTTATTATATTCAATATAATTATTCATTTATAACCAGTCACTCACTCATAGCCATTCAGATTTCCTTTTATGATACCCTCATATTAGGGGTAATAATGTACTCCTCAAAAGTTTCTCAAATATCTATTTTATATTTTTTATTAACTATTTATTACCATTTTATAAGATTTTTATATTTTTTAAAAAATTTATTAGTTATAGACTATAACTTATAGTGAATATATCTGTAGAATATATTAGAAGTTAAGCCATAGAAATACTTTAACTGTGTAATAGTTTTTGTATTGGAAATGTACAAAATAAGCATTTTAATAATTAGACAAAATATAATTATTATATATAAAATCAAAATAATATATTGACCATATTTTCTAGTTATGAAGTTTGCATCAAATTTCAATAAGTTTCTCCATTTCAATACCAATTAATTAAAGTGTGTTTTATATTTTCACATATAACATGTTGTTTGCATTCAGTGATCAATGATCAGTGAATATAAACCACAACCCAATTGACTAATTAAACGAAAATTTAATTTATTTAAAAGTTAATTACATTTGTGTATCGAAATCCATGTTTCGTATGCAGTGTTCGCATACGTTTGACACAATCGGTACGAAACACTGCGTTAGCAATGAAATCGCATATCCATTGCCGTCTAACTGTGGCCGTATATGTAGTGTCCGTATCGGTGCTCACGCTATGCCTATACGTTGCTGATACCCAACAATACCCGGTACCTCAATCATGGATGTACGACATGGGTGATAAGCGTAATGCTTGTGGTGAGGATGATCCGGACTGCAAGAACATGCAATTGGCACCCGATTACGTACCCACATACGCACCAACGCCCGAACCCTAACCACAAAATGCACCAAGGCAACCCAAAAAGTAACTGAAGATACTGAAGATTATTAGCGTTTTATAAAAATTTTAAAAATATTTTAAATGCATTTTTAGTTATATTGAAGTCTTGTTATTATATTAGAAGTTAAGTCATGAAAATGACTGTGTATTGAAAATGCAAAATACAAATAATTAAAGACAAAATAGTTATAATTTTTCAAGATAATAAAATCACAAAGGAACTTTTATTTACAGTATATGAAATGATTTTCATGTATAGTTTATTTTGAATTGTTTCTTCAAGCATTGCACAAGTACCTTGGCCACATTATATTAATTCGTGGTCATGTAATAAATGTGGCTTAATATAACGATTTGTATTTCTATAAATCACTTGTGATCTCAATATATCCAAATGTATCCATATATGGCTCAATGTATGAGTTTGTGTGAGATTTTGCAAAACAAATCAAAAGATAGCGTATAGTATATGACATTTGAAATAGTTTTACTGCTATTTCAAAATATAATAGTATTTTCATAGTTAGAATGTGCATACTTCATAATGTGCAAGCTTATTATTTGTGAACATTGTTTTCAATAACTTAAAGCATACTGTAGTAGTAAAATGTATTATGCATTTAATCTAAGCGATCAAAAGTACAAACAAAACATAAGTAAAAAGAGTTATCCCTTTTGGAAATTCTTGTGATAAATATACAAAAAACAAATAAATAAATATTAATAACAAATAAATAAATATTAATAACAAATAAAACGGGAATTTTGAGAAAATGTCAAAACTAATTCATATCAAACATACACGCAATTGGCTATACATTACGTGTAAGTCATTTGAAAACCCATTGCATAAGAAACTGTCGTTTATTATATAATATGTGCGCAAAAATTTAGCTTATAATCAATTTTTCTTATTATTATTACGGAATATATTTTTTAATAAATAATCAATAAATGATAAATAGTTTTAAATTTAATTATTTATTTGCACAAAAAACAAAAAGGATTTCCAAACAGACATCTTTCGTATGATTTATGCAAAACTAAATTAAATGACAAAATGATAAACAAAAAATTGGTTTTCCAAGACTTTTCTAATTATTTAAAATACCTATTTAATCATAGATATGGTTAAAACATTTGGTTTCATAAATTATCATTAAGTTTCATTTAATTTGCATGGTTATTTTTAATAGTAATCTATTAG